AGACCCGCAGCCATTTTAAAAAGTCTGAAATTTCTATAAACTTCTGGCACATGCGCATCTAAACTTAACGCTTGTAAACGACCGTGAGCCAGCACTTTATATTAAAAGCCACGAATTTTTAAATTTAATACTTTAACTTAATGTCAAACGAGCATGCGTAAAACAGCATTGTTAACACTCTTTAGATATTGTAAATATATTTATAGAAAATAGAGACATGTAAGTATTATTTGTTTTTGAAATATATAACAACAACAACAACAGCAACAACAACAAGATATTTATTTTCCTTATCAAAATTTACATATAACCATATAATAATAATAATAATAATAATAATAATATCTATAATAATACAAACAATATATTTATAATAAAATATAACTAATAAGAATAAATATAAATAATTATTAGAAAAGGAAAGTGTCACTCAAACAGAAGCCTGATCATATAAATAATTATAACAATAATAATTAAAAATAATAATATTATCTATAATAATACAAATAATATGATGACATGAGTGTCACTCATGATCAAAATGAGTGACACCAATTATAACAAGTAGTATAATAATAATGAAAATAACAAATATGAACCGAAAATCGCTAAGAAAATAAATAAATATATAATAATGATTGTTGTAAAAAAAAGAGAATTAACTATTGTGAATAAAAATAATTTCTGAAATCGAGATAACCAAAATGCATAAGGATTTTCAGAAACGAAATGAAACTACTTCCATTATCACCAAAAATTTTGTTGCTTGTACATTCTTTTTTATATGTGACAAATTTTTAAGTAAAGCCACACAACTGAGCATCTTTGCAAACCGCAATGTTTGCGGTACCAATTTTGCAAGTAATTATATCTGCGATACGTGATGTTTTGATTATCCAAACGAAAAATTACAGTAGACAAGTGTTTTATTCATTTTTTAATTATTCAAAGTTCGGACGAAATATAAATTTTTTTCAAGACAAAAAACAAATATTTTTATTACATGTGCTTATGATTTTAAATTTGATATCATTGCCCAGATTTTTTAATTCTTAAAGATATTGATGTCTTTTAACATTTCATTTTCATAAATTGCAACTAAGTATCTTGGAAGTATCTTAAATCTTATGCCAAAGTAAACGGTGTCTTGAATTTCCGTGCGTGATTTAAAAGATCTAGTTAATTGGAAAAAGAAGTGTTAAAAATGTTTAATGAAACTGATTTTTTTTGCGTATTTTTAGGTTACTGAATTTTTTTTTTTTTTTTTTTTTTTTGTATGTATTTAGGTGCTCCCAGAAGTCCTTACGGCCTTATCATAGAGCACCACGGGAGAGCATTTATCAGGATATTCACGCCTCCTTCCGTACCAATGTCACTTGTTGGGCTAGAGCTGGCGTCGAACCTCGGACCTCTGAGTTCTGAGCCAGAACTCTAACCACTGCGCCACGGCTGCTCGAATTGAATCGCAATAGTATTGTTTTAACTGATATTTTAGGATTGTTTTTTTTGCATTACACACAAACATATCACGCACAAACATATATTCATCCGTGCATGACAAATAGTTTTTTGCATTACACACAGGCATATCACGCACGAATATTTATCCGTGCGTGATAAATAGTTTCCTTAGCTCTTTTCTTTGCTCTATAACGTTGAATCGCACACTTTTGGAAAGAATGAAGTGCGTAGAAAAGATTGCGAAAGTAAGAAGCAAAAGCGATAGGTTAACCAATCTTTATCTGATATTGAAAAGCCCTTTTTATCTCCACATAGTTTTGGCTAGGCACTTAAATTAATTCAGCATTACCTGCCGATTCAAACAAAGGAAGATATCTTTGGAAAGAAGTTTACATACGTGAATATATACTTCTTTCTAATATTTCAGAATGAAGCCCTGACTACACCGGTTTCGACGATGTTAATTGCAAAGTTCTTGATTTTTATTTGCGAGAAGAAATCGAACAACCTCTGACATCTTTGTTAGAAGGGTGCGTATTGCTGCGTCAGCTAATGTCAGATTATATACGTCATGTGTATATGAAGCGACAACAAGCTGCATATTTTCGTTTATGTGGCCAAAATGTGTCCAAAAAGAACTGATTATACAAGTAAGTAAAATACAAATAAAAAAAAACCTTTTTGATATATTTATCATCCATTTATATTTTTAATTCTTCAAAAATCAGATGGATTTCAGTGAAATTTACACCATAATGGAGCAAAGTGAAATTCAATATACTTACTGGGTTCATCAGCAACTAACAGTATTCACTGCTGCAATTTGGAGTAAAGGTGAGTTTCCACTCATCCGTTTTTTTACAGAAACGGGAAAGGAAAGGAAAAAATAATTACGTGAGCATGCGCAGTTTTACTTCGGACAAATTAAAACTTATAATACACATGCCCACGTGATTGTTTTTCCCTTCCTTTTCCCGTTCCCGCGAAAAAACAGATGAGTGGAAACTCACCTTAAGAGCAATACACATTCCTATACTCAACGCCGTTAATGCATGTTCTGGAAAATACGCGAATTTTGCGTTTTTATAAAAACGCAATGTTTTACTGCATTTTTTTAGCACAAATAAATTTTTTTTTTAATTTTTTTTTTTTCACACCAGCGATTTAGTATGTCTAAAATCAAATTAAGTTAATTTTTTTTTAAATTACACAAGTTTAGATATTAAATTTTGCTTAATGGTTGATGTACCATATTTTGGTATAAAATGGCGCTGCTCTCAACGAAGATAAAACATTAACTTGAGAAAACAAGTTTTTCAAACAAGTTACAAGTTATATGTTTAATTTCTAACCAGTCATATGTCTGCAAACATATTAAAGGTCGAAAAAAATTAGTTATTTCAAGTTTAAAATCTGTTTTTTCCATTTTATATGAAAGTTTTTATTAATTTGAGTGTGAAGAACACACAAATTGACATACGACCAGTTAGACTTTTAAAGTTAAACCTCTTAAGGTTTATTTAAAAGTCTAAGTTTAAAATTTGAATATTACTGTGATATAATCCACCCCTATTTTATAATGCCATAAAACTATTAAACTAAAATTCCGGTCTTTAAATTACCATAGATTATTGTAAACATGTAAATTAGCGGGAAGAATATAAATATAGTTAACTAAATTTAGAATACAAGTAAACAACAGATTTATAATTAAATCACTTCAATCTTTTGTTATGTCAGAGTTGTCTATTGTTGATCCTTTAACTTGCGGTTTCGCTAAAGTTGCAGTATATATAGCTTTGACTGAAAAACATAAAATCAAACATTTAGTAAATGAAAATTATAAAGTTTTTAGGTCAAGAGTGCTCAATCATCAATACAAAACTTATATTGAAAAAAATCCTATATTTCACTTTGATTATGAACAAATAAAAAAAAAAGGCCCGGTTATTATTAACCATATAAAAAACTTAAAGGGGTCCAGGTCAAAATTTTGAAAGATATTTTGCTTACCTTTTCCAAAGAAAGATTTAATAACTTAGGAAGTTCAAAAATGCTTCATAGCCTTTTTAACTGTCAAGGATGCATAACTAACAAAAGATTAAAAAAAGTGTTAGAAAAATTTCCTGTCAAATGTAAAAGGTTCAAATATAAAGCAGAAAAAAGAGGAATGTATAGGCAAAAAAAACTTTCAATCGCAACTCATAAAGCACTAATCAGACTAGATCAGGACTTTAATAAAAAATATTCTACCACATTCACAAAGGCTATGAAGATCAATTTACCTAATCCACACAATTAAAAAATGAAACACAGATATGATGCAAATAAAATAAAAAACGATATTGAAAATCAATGGAAAGAAACCTCAACAGATAGGTATTTATATAAGAAAGCTCATAAGTATTCATACACACCTGAGTAGTTATATCTATATATTAAATACTATTTGAACATACTGTATATACTATACAACTGTGTGTGTTTGTGTGTGTGTGTGCTTGCTGCTAGAGAGAAAGAGTGTACTCTCTCACTTTGTGTTGTATACATATATAATATATGTTTATAACAATAAAGTATAATAAAAAATTAACTTTTTTAGGGCATTTGGTGTTCCTGTATCATTAAGCAATAGAGATAAGCTCCGCCTAACCCATAGTTTTGAAACACAAAAAAATGCAAAAAAAAGAAGAATATTAGAAATATCAGCTATAAAAAATGTAAGTCATGTACAAACAAATGAGTTGGTTAAAATAAGAATAGTATAACTTCAAAACAGATTTGAGTTAAGTCAATATTTATAATTATGTTAAATTTAGGAGTGGTACAAGTCATTAGTTTATCCAGTGACCCCTGGGAGTAGTATGTAGAGATTTTTCTAGATAAACCAATAAAACCTAATAAATATCAAATTAAGGAAAATTTAACTTTCACCATTATAACTCTTACCAGCTCATATGATCATTAATGATGTATGCATTTTTTATAATTGGGACAATATACACATTAATTAAATGCAACAGATGGCCTTGGTATTATAACTTGTGGCCATATACAAAGCTATAGCCAAATACAAAGCTTTATGTTTGTATTTGGCTACAGCTGTAAAATCAACTATAACAAAAGGATAAGGGTTTTAATAGTTGAGGATCAATTAAATTCATTTTTTTAAGGTACGTGAACGAAAAATATTAACTTTTCGCTCACGTTACTTAAAAAAAGGAATTCGTTCTCTTTCCTTGTTCTGTTGTTTTAAAAGGAACCAGTTCTTAGCTCCGTTCCTCAAAAAAGAAACTCATTCTAGGAATCCGTTCCTTTTGGAACACGTTCTTCCAAACACTGATATATATATATATATATATATATATATATATATATATATATATATATATATATATATATATATATATATATATATATATATATATATATATATATATATATATATATATATATATTCATACACACACACTTTAAAACTCTATTCACATCTAGAAGGAACCTACGAGATGTGAAAACACTCACAGAGCTCGTTTAACAATCCATATGACAAATGTGTTCTAAGTACAGAGAAGTACTAGCCATTCCTTATGTAGTTATGTTATATACCTTCTAGCATACTACAGAGAAGGATTAAGGATTGAAAGGTGCATATAGTGAGGCTTATACAAAGTTTTTTCTTTTTTTCTTCTACCACTAATTTAGGGAGAGAAAAAAGCAAGAAACCCTGTCGGTTCTATTGAGAAATATTCTTGGAAACAAGTTGAGTGTTTAGATGAAATTTCATCCTACCCTAATGGTTTTAAAATAAACTTTTCTGAACTAGCACATAAATTTTCTGTGACAAACAAAAAAGGTAATAGTTTGAAATATCTATGTTATAGTATATTGAAAAAAAGAATAAACTAATAATAAATGTATTATGCTAATAAATTAGTTTTACCATTTTAATAGTATTAAGTACCAATAAAAAAACAAGAATTTTAAACAAAATAATTTTTAGGTATTACACCCGCAAACGGAGGCCAAGTACTGAAAAAACTTTTAGAATCTATGAACTGTGATCTAAAAAGACTAAATCTAAAAAGAAAAATGTCAGATAATACATACCCTGATGGCACTAATATAAATAATATACAATATAGAAGAAAAAAACGGAGGTATTTATTACCTTTCTTTCACTTATCATTAATTAAACTCTTCATTAATTAAGGTTAAACTCTTCAGATTTTATTAATCATTTATGGTTTAACTTATTTATAGGTTAAACCTGCCATACATCAGAGATATATCTTTGCCATGCGAGCCAACTAATAAAGAAATAAAGCAGCAACTCAAAAAAAAAATAGATGATGGAACATATAATTCAGGGGAAAAGATTGTACCCCAAAAATATGAAAAAGTATTTATATCATCTGAAAATCAAAAAATTACAAAAAAAGAGGTTCTTATTGAAGGCAGAAAAATTTCCTTGAAAGATATAAGACTAAATATGTTCAAAGACCATGAGATTTTCATGAAAGTTCGAAACGATAATGAACTAGAAGCACTCTCTCGACAGCAAATTGTTGATGCTCTTGATAATATTCAGGAATATAAAGATGAATTTGACACTCTAACTAAAAATGAGCTGATGAATATACTTAAAACTTATGAAAGAACAAGGAATTTAATGTTTTGGCATGATTGCTCCAGTATATCTAATCACACTCACTTTCTTGTTACTGTTAGTGTAATGTACGATACAGCCATATTTTTAAGTAGCTTTGAATATAAACAAAAGTATGGAGAGGAAATAAATGTTCAAGCAGAGGTCGAAAATTTTGCAGTGTACTATATATATATATATATATATATATATATATATATATATATATATATATATATATATATATATATATATATATATATATATATATATATATATATATATATATATATATATATATATATATATATACATATATATATATTTATATATATATATATATATATATATATATATATATATATATATATATAAATATGTATACATATATATATATATATACATATATATATATATATATATATATATATATATATATATATAAATATATATATATATATATATATATGTAGTATATATATATGTATACATACATTATATATGTATACATATTTATATACTACATATATATATGTATATATATATATATATATATATATATACATATATATATATATATATATATATATATATATATATATATGTATATATATATATATATATATATATATGTATACATATATATATATATATATATATATATATATATATATATATATATATATATATACATATATACTACATATATATATATATATTTATATATATATATATATATATATGTATATATATATATTAGGTATGCGGAAATAGCCGTTTTACGGAATCGAATTTGTGCTAAAATTCTGTGCCACGTTTTTTGAATTTTTTTTGAGGTAGCGTCAGACAAACGTTTTGTAGTGGTGTTTCTTTTTAGAAAAGTATATCAACATAGATTATTTTTGAAAGGAAGAGACTTAGATGCATATTTTTATGAATCAATTATGTATGGATGATTTACTTTTTATTGACTTTATAGATATTGAAAATTTACTTGATGTTGTCACGTGAAATTTGTATTGATGGAATGCTGAGACATTTTGCAAAACTACTGAGACATTTTTTTACATCCTTTATTTATTCACCTGCCAAATTTCAAGAAAAAATAATATGTAGCAGATAATTTAAAAAGTGTAGCAGTTTTGGTACCTAAATTTTGTTTTCACAAATTCGCGATGGGTGTTGTTGTGGTTGGGGGAGAAAGTCGGAATCTACATACTATGTATATAACAATAACAGTAATAATAATACTGTCATTATTATTGTTGTCGTTATTTTAATAATTTCATTGTTTTATATTTATTATTAAATCATAATTTATGTATATAATATAAATACACTATATTATGGTTTATTCTTTAATATTCTTTTAGATAAAATAATATTCTTTTATATTCTTTTATATTCCTAATAATATTCTTTTATATTCTTAATATTCTTTTAGATAAAAAGCAGATATTTGTTTAACAATCATTGTTAATCTCATCAATCAATCTCAGATTGATTTTTGTAAACAAAAAATTCATTTTTGTAAACAAAACAATCTCAGAAAGATTTTGAAAATCTTTGAATATTACCATATCTAGTAAGGTATTTATGTCTTTAATCGTGACATTTGTATTTAAAAATTTTTGTATAATTTTTGTAGTTTTATTTTTCTGTTTCAAGTAAGGAATTTAAAAAAAATGTCTTTATAATTCCTGTTATGTCTGAAACTGTAAAGTGTTATTCTTTAAACATTAGGATAAAAATTTTAGTATGTTGTCAAATGTGCTAACAGGTAATATTCCATTTTTGAAAAAAAATGGAATATTACCTGGAAAAGCTGATGATTACATTTTTGGGCATTACATTGTACTGATTACATTGTATTGATTACATTGTAGGGCAGTAGATCATCTAGCTTTTATTTATTCGAATTTTCATTTACATAATTATGATGAGTGTTGTTAATTGAGTATTGAAAATATTTCCATCACAATATCAGACAGAGTTGCAGTTAACCATCTAACCATAAGCAAAGTTAGTGCAACTTGGGGTAAAACTCTGAATTTATTGAATTTTTATTTGCACCCTCTTGATACAATTGCTACTGAATGTCGCTCAGCGTTGATGTGTCTAGAGACAGAAAATTTGAATTATTTGGCAATGATTATGTAGCTGTCAAAATTGATTTGGCTGTGAATAAGATGAGGTTTAAAGACAGTGAAAGCGATCCCAAGGGATTCGTTACTTTTTAAGACCACAAAAAACTACCTAGGTGTATCATCCCTAGATATCGAGGAAACCGTCTTCATATTTTCTTTTTAATACTTGTCATATATTTATTAAACACTATGCTAATTTTCTAAATTTTCTGATCACTAGAACAGTCAAATGTGGCAGTTTGCAAGCAGCTCTGCGAGTAGCATTTTGTAATGCTACCACTTTAAAAAAAATGTGTGTGCTTGGTGTATTTGGGAAACTGCTAAGTGGTCCGTGGATGACTAAGTTTTATGTATCAGCTGAGGATGCAAATTTTGATCATCTCACCGGTATTCAGATTCTAAAAAACATTTTGGAAACAGTTAATGTTTGCAAATCTAATCCGGCTGCACTGTTTTGCAGAGCAACAGATTTTTTGGGGGAAATGCTTCCCTCAAACGTTTTTGAACCAATAACATATTAATGCTGCATTGATGACCAGGTTATTAACATGACTTCAGCTTGTCTTAATTCAGTAAAGGATGTATTGATTAGACAATGTAAAAGGTACTTCTCTTTTTTCATTACAGAGACACTTAAGCAGGAAACAGCTAGTGCAAGGTTTCACAATATAGATAGTGAAGAGTTAATTGGTATGTTTAGTGAATCTAAGGGAAGATTCCCTAATACAACAATTTTATATAATTCTTGAATGTAAAGGAATAAGTGAATGTAAAGGAAGATCCTCTAATGCAACAACTTGTTATATTTCTTGCAAAATAAGATGAAAAAAGAATAGGACTATTTATTATCTTGATAGTTTAGATTACTAACTAAGTAAGAAAATGTAATTAATGGTCCATTTTCTACAACATGCTCAAATTCGATCTGCATTATATAAGAGACAGACATGCAAGCATCAAATGTTGGATGAATAAGATAAAAAGAAATTATAACGAAAACTTAAGTTAATGACTTTCAGCCAGATTAAGAATTTGTATGAACAATTATCATCCAGTTGCTACAAAGCAACTGGATGATTTAGATGATGTTATGTCTGACAGAATTGTTAGTAGCAAACTATATCATGAATAGTATGATATTGAACAATCTAAGTATACGATGGCAGAGTAGAAAAAGTAAAAAAAAAGATTGCATGACAAAATTTACACTATCTCTTACTGGAAAAAAGATGAATCTGATTCTGAAGCTGATAATTATTGTATGAAAAAATTCCAGCTGGCCCTAGATGTTGTATCAGGAGAATTTTTTTTTTTTTAATGTTAATGTGTATTATTTGTTTTTAATGTTAATATGTATTGTTTTCATAATTGAAAGGTAAGTCCAAAATAGATACTGCAAATGTTAGAACTTGAAAAGTCTTAACATTTGAAAAGTATCGCAAATGTTGTGACTTATAAAATTGGTACAGAAGTTTTGTGACTTGCACAAATTATTGATAGACGGCTCTGACTTACCTTCTTGTGATGTCTATCGTTAAAAAATGATTAATATTTTGTTTCATTAGTGGAATTTCAAATTGTTTACTAAAAGCCAAGATACTAATTAATTACAATGGGTAATTTGTTTACACTAAATAACATAATTTTAAATATTTTATTTTTAAAACATTTTACATGTTTTTTTAGGTTAGATGTTAAAAAATCAAACAGCCTTTTGCCTAAGAATTTAAATACTCTTACACATTTTGTATTAAAAATTAAAGTGTTAAAATTTTTGTTTATTTTTAACAATATTTTTCAATTTAAAGTTAAAAAAAAATTTTTAAATTGGAGGGGCTATTTCTCTTTCCTATGTGAAACTGGATAAACATTTGCTTTTTGTAAAGTGGTAAAATGTCTGCTTATACTAATTTTTGACGTTTGAAAATGTAAACAAATTTTTCTTTTTTTAAATGACAAAAATTGGCAAAAAAAAATATTGGGGGGGGGGGGCGGTTAGGCGAAAGCGGGCGCACGCCCTTACCTCTCAAGTAAAAGTATACCATACTAACAAGTTGTAATGTAGTAAAGTATTTTTTTTTTTAAATTGGAAGGAGATTGGAGGGGCGGTGCTGCGCGGGTGTACGCCCCTCACCTTGACTCGAGTTATACACCACTAACCACTAGTTGTAAAGTACAACTAGTGGTTAGTAAAACTTAAATTTTATTTTTTGTTCTACATTATTTAATTGGAGATAATATTATTTATAAAAAAGGAATTATTTTTGTTAATAATACGTGTTAAACAAGCACCACCACATCCACCCCTAACTCAAAGGTACACATCTCATATATGGTGGTGAGCTGGGATCTAAATATTGGAACTTCTGTTTGATAAAAAAGACAATTTTCAGTATTAAAATACTTTTTTATGATAGAATATTCAATTTTTTTGGTGGTAAAAGTCGTAGTTCGGGGCCCCCTCTAGCCGTCCACTTACGCCCTATGGCAAGATGCTATTATAAAATTGTAGCCCACTCTTACATCTTTCTTTTGATACCAAATTATAGAAATTTCAACAAGAATTTGCATAGTTATAACCATTTTCGATACAAAAAAAATTATTTTGACCACAGTTTCTTTAACAATTTCATATATTTAAAAATTGTCACTAAAAACCTCATAACTTTTTTTTGAATTGTTCGATTTTGATAATTTTTTCACCGTTGAAATACTGTATTAATGCTCTTTTTAACGATATATAACAATATAATATTTTGTAAATTTAAAAATTTCATGTCACATACCTATATATATGTATATATATACATACATATATATATATATATATATATATATATATATATATATATATATATATATATATATTATATATATATATATATATATATATATATATATATATATATATATATATATATATATTTAACAAAATACTGTGTTTCTTTACTACATATTTTCTTACACCATCGCGAAAGACATGTTATGTTTTAAACCAAAGTTATAAGAATGACTTTTTATGACTAAAATTTATTATGACTTAAACAAAATCTAAACAAATGTTGCAGACCGGAAAAAAAGTATGTTTGTTATCACCGAGAACAAGCAAGACAAAAAAGTATGAAAACTTGCATTAATGCCGTTGAGTACGTTGTAACCGATCGTTTACTTCATAATAAATACGGCATCTTGTTTATTATATAAGCAATTAATAAGTCATAATCAAAATATAAACTTTTCACAGCCCTTCATCACAATTGTTTTGACTTGTTCACAGCTCTTCATCACAATTCAAAAACTCATATGTCATGACATAAATAATTATTCATTATTTGTAAATGCGGTATTCACTAATCAACATATATTGCGGTTTATTACAACATATTGCAATATTATTGCGCGTTCAATTTAAATTGCTATATATTGCTCAATTAATTGTCCAATAAAATATCAAAAAAGTTATATAAATATGTGTTTGTAAATGTAATTTATAATCTAAATTACATTTACAAACACATATTTATTATTTATAATTATTTTATTTATATTTAAATGCATCTAAATTTTAGATGCATTTAAATATAAATTATTCTGATGTTTTTCTAATTGCCATTCATTTTTTTGTTTTACATAAATTTAATGCGTTAATAATATTGCAATAATATTGCAACAATATTGCAATAATATTGCAATAATATTGCAATAATATTGCAATAATATTGCAATAATACTGCAATAATATTTCAATAATATTGCAATATTATTGCAATATTATTGCAATAATAAGACTTTATTAGTTTGACTAATTAAAATTTTTTTTTTTGAAAACGTTCGTTATTTAGTATATATAAACCCACAAGCAAAGACGTATATAAAATAACAACCATTATTTTGGATTCCTCAAGTTATGATAACTCCTTAATAAATTAAACTATAATGCTTAAGACTTGATACTATATTTGATTAAATTAGGACTTGATACATTATTTAAAACTTGATACAATAACTGACTTAAAATTAAACTTATGACTTGATACAATAATTGACTTGAATTAAACTTAATTAAAACAGGTTTGAATTAAGAGTCTATACCATAATTGACTTAAGTCAATTATGTGTAGATTAACGTATTGCACCTTCTAACATCGTGTGCAATCGTGTCCGCTCTCTCTATGCTTTCTTTCTAACTTGACTACTTCTATCTTTTACTATAACTTATCTTCGTTCTTCCCAAATTAACTTTACTCTTGGTCCGCCGAACTTGTCTTTGTGGGCCTCGGTAATGTGGCCTTTATATGGCAACAAGCCGGAGGAGGATAAACTAAAATACCAAACTATAATACTTAATAAAACGTCTGAATAAAACTTAATTAAAAAAAAAGTTTGAATTAAAATTGAATTTGAATTGAAATTGAATTGAGACACAAAAATTATGCGAATAATAACGTGTTGCACCTTCTAACATCGTGTGTAATTCTGTCCGCTTTCTCTATGTTATCTTTCTAACTCGACTATTTCTATCTTTTACTCTAACATATCTTTGTTCTTCCCAAAATCACTTTACTCTTGGTCCGTAGAGCGGATCATGACGCTCCTAGGGGAGCCGAACTTTTCTTTACGGGCCTTGGTAACGTGGCCTCTATATGGGAACTAGCCGGAGGAGGATAAACCACAATACTAAACTTTAGTGTTTATATTTTACTTTGATGTTTTTAATTTTTACTCTCTCCCCAGCGGGCACAGACGTCAATCAAACGTATTACGGACGTCTTAACTAGGTCGCGACGTCTCAGACCAAATTAGGACGTCCTAAAGACGTCCGGTAAAGACGTCTATGTTAGGACGTCCTTGTGACGTTAATATAAAGACGATATTAGGACTTCCATATTTAGACAATCTATTGACGTCGCTTAGACCTACATTAGACGTCCTAATTACCTTAGAAATAAGTAGAAAAATTATTATCAACTTGGCGCATACAATATTATGTGCTAACTCGGTTAATTAAATGTCTACTTGTTTTGGTTGATTATTTTGAGATGATTAATTTTGTTTAGTTATTTATCGTTTAAAGATATTTTTTAATTTTCTTTATTCTATACTCTATGATCTATAAACTATAATCGATACAGTATTTAAATAAAAGAAAATTGAGTTTAGATATTAAGTGTAACTAAGTTACAAGTATAATAAGGGAATTTTAACAAAAGACATCAAAATTGCACCACGACTTTTCACTTTGTGTTTTATAGAATAGTAATGATATTTTGTATGTCTATGTTATATATAATATATATATATATATATATATATATATATATATATATATATATATATATATATATATATATATATATATATATATATATATATACATAATATATATATATATATATATATATATATATATATATATATATATATATATATATATATATAATATATATATATATATATATATATATATATATATATATATATATATATATATATATTATATATGTATATATAATATATATAT